CCCACTTTTCACTATAAAATAAAAGACATATATAACTGAGTGTGCAATTAAAAAAAATCATCAGTATTAAAAAACTTGCTTGTTTATGAGATGGTATTACCTACACAGGGGTCCAGGGACCATAGGTTGGGAACCACTGTCCTAGGTCCTTGCTAACATTACAGTGTTTCATTATTCTGTTAAAGAATTACATTCAGCCAAACATTTTTTTTATTGTAGGAGCAATAAATTGACAAATTGAAATTGTGACTTATGAAATTGTTTTTGCCAAAGTTGCCCAAGTACTTCATCTTTACTGGTTGTTGCTTTGTAGTATTTTGGTTTTGGACATGATCTTGTTTGTAAGTAGGTTTCATAGATGTTAAGAAAAAGTGATTTCTCATATATTGTTATTGGAATGTAAATTTCTATAACTAATTTACCTGGTTACTGTAAGGTACTAATAATTACCAGTTTTTACTATAACTTGGGATTTAAATTCTGGTTGCTGCTGACAAGGGGAAAAGCAAGACTTCTTCTGCCAGCAAGGATCATAGTGTGTTTTATCTTTGAATAAATAATTTTTTTTGAATTTAGCTGTTTTGAAGGAGTACATATGTAATAAAAAAAATCATCACAAACCAAAATGTTAACAAACTCGTATATCCTTTTAAAATTAGGAAATTGTTTTGGTTTTTTTCTTGCTGGGCTGAGACCTGGACTATATTTTTAATTTATAATTAATAATTAATAAACTATCATTATATTAGAAAAACACCTGGACATGTTTTTTCTTGTTTTTTTGTAACTTAATATTTTGAATTATTACTTATGTCTAAGATTTTATTGTGCATATTGAAGCATCATGGCATCTGAGTGAACAGAAAAATTAATTCATTTTAGGTTATGTTTGAGACTATAATCAAAAAGTATTATAAAACTTTTGTTTTTTGTTGTAATATTCAGCTAATTTAGTGTTATTGGATATAAACTGGGCTTTTTTTCATTATAACTTTGAAACACCTAAATATTTTAGGCAAATTAGTTTATTTTGAAGTGTACAGTGTTACATCCTCTGTGTCAAATTCTTAGAAGATTCAGTTCCAGGTTGTCAATTTGTCCAGAAACTGACTAGGAAAAACTTTCTTTCCGGTTTTATTATTTTATTGATGAAGATTTTCTGACCTTTTATAAATTGTGAAGTTTTTTTTCAGGTGACATTTTGATGATTAATGGTTGTATTTCAGCTGCTTATTAAATATGCACCTTGAAGAATGTAGTGGCTTAAAACAAAAGATAAAAAAATAATATTTTAACCAAACAAAATAACTCGGTTATTAATGTCAATTTTTTTTTGTCTGATTTTCAATATAGTTTTCCCCATAATTTTTTACTTGTAAGTGTATGCTTAAATGATTTGAATTGTAAAATTTATTTTAATTTTTTGTTTAGTTTCTTATTGTAGTGTTAGTTTTATTTTTATTTATTTTCAGTCACTACATCTCTTAATTTTCAACTCCCAGATTTTTGCATACTTTATAGTTGTGCTTCATTACTATGTTCATAACCAATTTTGATGTGAAAGTTTATACTCACAGTTTCAGTTTTTACATTGTATTTCAAGTCATCTTTTGAGCCTCTTTGTTCTGTTTTTGTTTTTGACATTTTTTGGTTTCCCATTTTTATTTAATTATAAAATATTAGCAAACATTTAACTGAAAAAAAAGAAGAGAAAGAAATGGAATATTTTTATAAAGTACCTCTAAAGTTGTACATCATTGTGACTCACTACGCAGAAAATAAACAAAGGAGATAGTATACACATTGATGTATACACACTACTAAGATTTGAACATTATAAAGGTAGTTTGCTGTAGTTACAATGCAAGGATATTTAACTTTTCTTCTGATATGAAAATCTTCCATAGGTGAAATCTGTGTCAAAGACTTGGGCTGAAAGAGCTGGTCTGCCATCTCATGTTGTAACCATGCTAAATAACTTCCCTTCACATCTCCACCCAATGTCTCAGTTTAGTGCAGCTATTACAGCATGTAACACAGAAAGCAAGTTTGCTAAAGCATATTCTGAAGGAGTTCCCAAAGCCACTTACTGGGAGGTAAGCATAAATGTTCTCTACTAATTAAGAATATAATAATTAACATTTGCTTAATATATAATTGATAAGTTCTATCATACAAGCATAGAGCCAAGATTTTCTGTAAGAATTTTAGTCATGAATGTACGTGTAAATGCAGTTATTTTTAATATTTAATAAGAATTCTACATTTATTATCTGGATTTGTTCTTTTGGTTTTCCAACTGGAAGTGAATTATTCTTTTGTTTTATTCTACATATTACATAAAGTTTTGTTGTACGAAAATGAAGAAATTATTGGAAAATAGACATAAATATACAGTACTGTGTACTCGTAACCGATAACAATACATGTAACATTTAATGGTAGAAATGTTTTTTTTTCTATATTTATCCATCATATGTATGTATGTTAGACCTAAATTCCATGATATGCTGACAGATCAAAAAAATGGTGACCAAATAATAAAAACACTTGGCCTTTTATCTTTTATTTTCAAAAAGTAAACATATGAAAACAGCAATGTGCTGCTGTAAACCTGATTGAGTCAAGTTAATTGTATGATAAAAACTTGTACATATTCCTTTTGATCATTGTGTAACCAATTCTACCATGAATTTTCACTATGAATAATTCTACCATGAATTTTCACTGTGAATAATTCTACCATGAATTTTCAGTGTGTGAATAATTCTACCTATGAATTTTCAGTGTGTGAATAATTCTCCTATGAATTTTCAGTGTGTGAATAATTCTCCTATGAATTTTTCAAGTGTGTGAATAATTCTACTATGAATTTTCAATGTGTGAATAATTCTACTATGAATTTTCAATGTGTGAACAGCTGTACCATGAGCTTTGAATGCATAAACCATTCTACCATGATTTTTACAAAAAAGTTTTATCATTTTGAAATTAGAAAAATCTTAGGACTATCACTAGTACCTGATTACATTTTGTGTACTTCTCACTGGTCACAAGACTTTTCAAGATGGTATCTCACAAGAGAGTAAGTGTGAGAGTTGGGCTAGTAATAATTAGATATAGTTTTCAAATAGAACATAATAAATGTTTTTATTATGTTGCAGTAGATGACTAGTGTGATTTTGTATTCAGTGTTATTGAAAGACAAATAAATGTTAGTGTTCATAAAAGGAGCTTAATGGTGTTTATAGAATCCATGTAAACATATTTTTAGTTTTATGACTTCGAAGGTCATTCTCTGGGATATAATTTTACAGAGAATCTTTAATAAAAACATTCAAATACCATTTTTCAACAAAATATAAATTACCTAAATTAAATAAGTTTTTTCAAAATGTACAAACACAAAATACAATCCTTTTGTAAGTTAACTAGGTTAGAATATATTAAAAAATAAATTAGTTTAAACTTATCAAATATCTTCCTTTCTATTCCTTTAAATTATACTTTCTCTTGTTATTATAGAAAAGCAATTTATTTCCCTAATCTTCAATAACTTAATACAAAATATACCTCTTGCTTTATTCTCCTTTATTTTCCAACTATATGTACACACATTTGCCTGTTGAAAAGCTTATTTTCTCTTTCATGTTATGTTCCTCTTAAAAATTCATCATTTTTAATAGTTCCATTAACTTTATTAGTAGTATATAATTGAGTAACTCTTTTTCCATTGGAAATTTTGTTAAATGATGTTTTGTATTATAAGAATATGCAGTGTACAGGGTTGTGTGTACAGTATGATAGTTTTATTTTATTATTTACAGCACACTTTTGAAGATGCTCTGGATTTGATTGCCAAATTGCCAACCATTGCTGCCACTATCTATCGCAACTTGTACAAAGATGGAAGCAGTATTGGTGCTATAGATGTTAATAAGGATTGGTCAGCAAACTTTACATCTATGCTTGGATATGATGACCCCAACTTTACAGAGTTAATAAGACTGTACCTTACTATCCACAGGTGAACAGGAAAAATGTCATAATTGTGTATAAATGTATTTTGGAACATTTGATCTTGTAAATTATATATATATATAGTAATGTGGTTTTGAACATTCTTGTTTATTTAGTCAAAATGTAATTTAATTATTGTATAAGTTACATCATTTTTAACTTTGGCTGCTGTTTAATAAACTAGTAGATTTTTTTGTGTGTTTACTTCTAAATCTTATATTAAAACTTGTTGCTGAAATGAAGATTTATATTATTTAGGGGATTGTAAAATTGTTTTAAAATTAAAGCTTATTTACCAATTTTTAATGTTGAAACACACGTTTAATATTAATTTCTGTTCTTACAGTGACCATGAAGGAGGAAATGTCAGTGCTCATTCTGTCCATCTTGTTGGAAGTGCCCTCTCTGACCCTTACTTATCATTTGCAGCTGGTATGAATGGTCTGGCAGGACCTCTTCATGGTCTTGCAAACCAGGTTAGCTCAGAGTTAAAACATTGTGTTACCTGAATTGAAATGGATATATATATATACTAATTCTGTTCATCTAACTTGCACTTTTGTATATAAAAAAATCAATGTTTTGTAAGTAAAATGAGATAATGTAATTCGTGTGCTGAGCATTTTGAATATTACTTGTGGGATGTGTTTTCAAGTGAATACTTTTTATTATATATCTTCACAAATCAATTGTTTTCTTACTATGGTAATAATATTTCATTTGTATATATTTCATGGAAGTAACTTTTAAATGCTCTGCATATCAATGCATGCAGTGCTTTAAGGACATAGTGTGTTTATATTTGTGCATTGTAAACTGCTATGAGAGATCAATGCATGAGGTGCTTTAAGGACATTGTGTATTTATATTAGTTCACTTTAAACTGCTACCAGAGATCACTACATAAGTTGCTTTAAGGACATTGTGTGTTTATATTTGTGCACTGTAAACTGTTATCAGAGACCAGTGCATGAGATGCTTTAAGGACATAGTGTGTGTATTAATCCTTTTGCCACTGGTGTCCTTTTCTGCATATGATACAAAGTTTTAGTGTCTTACATCCAAAATTTTATAAAACTATTTTTTGTTTATGTTATGCCAATTGGTATAGCATAAAATCTTAGCTAATAATCCATATTTTAATGGTATATAAGTTTTAAGTTCTTAATTCTTTCAGGCAAAATTTTAAAAAATCCTGAATTTCTCCTAGTGTGACACACTTGACATATTTTCTCTAGGTATTTTTTCCTCTCTACATGTATTTTATCCACCACCCCTTCAAAATGTACGAAATTAAATGTAAATTACTCACTATAAAATCCTCATTGCTCAGATAAACCATAATTTTATAGCTTTCAATTTTGTTTGGTTACAGAGCTATCAAATAAAAAATCAGACCCTTCCTGCCACACCCACCTGTCACATCCTCTCTTTCAGGATTTCTTAATAGTTCTCTCTTGTTTAATTACATATTACCTATAACCAATAGAAAGTCAAGGTTTTCATCTATCAAATGACATATTTTATAATGTGTTCTGAACAGATAAGTGGCAGTTTCACTCAGAGTACAAGCTTCATTCCCATAGGAAAATTAACAACTAGCCTGGATGAATTTGTAACGACTCTTGTCGCATAGTTAGAAAGCCAGAAAAGTTTTAAGAGTTATGGGAAATTGTCAAAATTTTTGCATGTTATTAGAGTATGTTCTTTGGTGCATTATTTACTTAAATAAAAATTATTTAGTGCATTGCTACCATTAGTATAAATAGTAGGGTTAACTTTTGTTAGCAATCAACAGCAAGAAAAAAGATTAGATAAGTACTTCATTTCTTGTTTATTATTTATTTATTATTATAAATACAATTAAAATGTAAAATAGGGATCTTTTTGAGGTTAGTTAAGATTAAATTAGGTAAAATAAATAATAATATAATAAGGCTCATAGTAGCTTGAGGGTAATGTAATTCGATAGCATAACACGAGCTGCACATTCCTAGAGTGATTTACAACTTATAATAGCGTGAATAGTAGTTAGACACAGTTCAAAGGGCAATAAAATAAATACATTTCATTATGAATAGATATATATATATATATATACTGTTACAAGCTTAAAGCTGCTTAGGATAAACGAATGTAGTTGCATGTTACATTTTGAAGTCATTCTAGAAAGTTTTTATAGGTGCTTCAGATTTATTTAGATTTTTTGTGTGTGGTTATGAGGTCAGTCAAATTTACCAATCGCGTATAGAGATAGAGTAGAGAAAGTAACAAATAAAATATAAAGTTTTTACTAAAAATAAATGTTTGAAATGTATTTAAGAGGTTTTAGAAATTTGAGATTTTTGAGATGAAGAACTTGGTTTGCACATGGACTATTCAAAACAAATACAGAATATATTCATGGACAAATCTTTATTGTAGTGTATTAAAAAGTACTTCACTAAAAAATATGATTTTTTGTATGTGAAAGACTGCCAAATTTTGTGAAGATTTACACATATATATTGAAAGTTAAAAGTATTAAATCTATAAAGACTTCAAACAAGTACAAAGAAGTCGTGTGGTCAGTCAAATTGACCAAGCCTGTGTTGAGAGAGTTAATATGTTATAAACTGTCATTTTTTGTCATAGCTGTATGTATGTGGAATACCTTCTTTACCAGTAATATTTTTTAGCCAACTGACATCTGTAAATAAAATTCAAAGAATATACTTAAGTGACAATAGTATCTCTCTTTCAAAGTCTAACTTAGACTTTTTATTGTTGAACTTTTTGACATTTTGCATAATCTGTAATGTTTTTAGAGTTTCTCAAAGTTAATTCTAAGTGAAATGATGCATATCAATTGTTTGTAAGCCTATAAGTTTGTAAGTTGGGAACTTTCTACTGTTTCATTTTTTCAGACTCCTGAAATACCAGAAAAATTATTTAGTTGGAAATAATTATTTTGTACACTTGGTACTTCCATCTGTATTTTTTGCAGTAAAGAACATAAATGGAAAGGCTTTAATAAAAACTTTTTGTATTCACTAGTTGTACTTTATGAATCTCAGCAAATATGAATGTAATCTATAGTTGCTTCAAATTTTTTTTCTCTGAACTCCTGCTATAAATACTTAATGTCTCATGTCTTTCCAAACATAACAGGAGTAGATGAAGACTTTATTGGCTTCACTGATCTTTCTCATAGCTTTTGACATACTTAGCAAAAATTTTAAAAAAAATTATCATTCAGTTTTTGCATAGCAAAATACTTAAATAAACATTGATAAATGTTTGTTTATTTTTCATTTATTATGAGTGTTTTTTCTTTTTGTGTATGTATGTGATTAATATCTGATATACAATTTAATTTTTCTTGTGCTGTTCAAGAAACATAACAGAAATACTAGTGAACATCTGGACTAAAGATTAGAAGTTCTGAGAGCATTTTGAACTTTTTTGAAAAGTTTACTTTCCTTCTTGAGGTTTTTTCATCAATTTCTTGTTTACTTCAAAACCTGTGATACACTTTAACATTTCAGTTTGCATGTTTTTTAAACAAATAACTAAGTATTAGAAGATCTTTGTAAAGAAATTTATTATTAATTTATAAATGTTAATAAATGAAAATTTTCTTCTGGGTGTTATATCATATAGCTCAAGTTTGTATTAAAGTGTAGATATTATGTATAAACACAATGTTTCTAAAATGTATATAAGCAAAAATTTTACACAACTTCATTTTATATATTCATGTAGAAACAAAAGAACAGATATGATTTTCATATATTAGTTTATGTATCAATAATAATTTTTATTGATACAGTGAGTATTGGTAAGGCTGAGCAGTTATGTTGACTAAGGAAAATGTCATCTATTTTATTAATAAATCATAGAAAAAGTTTAAATGAATACTTTCAGTCTGAAATATCATAAGATATTTTTTTGTTTACAGTAATTGAGCAATGGCTACTTTTGTTTAGGTATGTGAAACTTAATAAATCACTTGAGGCCAAAACTTAAATTGTTCAAAACCAAATCACACCTAGCAAGACAGAACTTTTAATTTGAAGTGAACTCTGCTTTTTGTCTGAAACATTTAAACTAAATTTTTACATTATGTCTTAATAATCTAGGATAACACTATAGGCTGAGTTAATTCACTAAAAGTAATAGTATAAAGAAGCAAAGTAAACATGCATACATAATAAGAAAGACAAAAGTTAAAAAATAATAGATAAATAATCTTTTACACTTGCATGTTTCCAGGAAGTTCTGGTTTGGCTCAGAAAGCTACAAAAAGACTTGGGTCCTGATGCTAGTGAAGAAGAAGTGAAAGAGTTTGTTTGGAAAACCTTAAAGTCTGGACAGGTAACATAAAAGTCATTTTGTACAAATATCCTAGGACTAAAGTTGAAGTGTTTTAAATCTATAAGATAAGTTTTTAATATGGCTAAACAGGTATAAGAAGGTATTATTTAGATGTGATAAACCTAAGGGAAAAAATACTGTTTAAATGAACATAATAAAAAGAACTTTATAAAGCCCTACTGATTATACTTTTTGTAAAATACAAGGTTTTAAAACTTTAAAATACCTTTTAATATGCTGATATTTTATTTTTGAAATGATTTCTAATAAAATATTTAATAATTTCTGTTAATTTTCTTTACCTTGAATTACATAACATGTTCATTTCATAATCATAAAGCATTTATGGCATCTTTTACCAATTGATTTACATTATTCAAATCAGGTAAACTTACCTCTGAATTACTTAAGCCTTTCCTTGTTGATTTTGTACCTGTTTGAAAGACATTTGAATTCTAAAAACGTGAAGTTTGTCAACAAGCACTTAGTTTTAGCTGTTACATTGGAGAGCTCCATTGAATATCTGAAGCATAACCTTGTAACACTTTACTGAAACTGACTTTAAATTAAACTGCTACTTTTCATAAAACTTTGCTTTTCATATCTGTCCATTTGTGGACTACTGGAAAAAAATTAGATTTTTGATTGTTTTTTTCTCAAAACACTTGTACATCTAAACTTTCATTTTATATATATACACACCATATACTTGAACCTTCTAAAGGTATGAAAAAAAAATGTATAACATTACTAATAGTAACAACATACTTTTATTGTGTCTAAAGGAAAACCACTAATACTAAAGATAATTAAAACAGTTTTCTTTTAATATTAACAAGTTTAATTCTATATAGTTTCAATGGGATGAAGTACATATACAAGTACCTTTTTTACATATTTAATTTCACTGGTAAGCATGGTCAAGCTGCCAGAAAATCCCACAGTTGTTGCATCTGATCAAGAGGTGCATTCTTTGTGAAGATAGAGTTAAACAATTTATAATATATTTATTTGCAAAAGCTATAAAGTTTTGTGTTTGTACATGTAATAACCATTTCTACAAGGTTCTAAATGAGATTTAGAAAATGTTCTTTAAATATGATATGAAAGGACTGGTATTTAACCAGTAACTATGACTCTCTTAAGGTAGCCAAATGCCTTGTCATCTAATTAGTGACGTGCATGAATGGATTAACGAGATTCCCACTGTCCCTATCTACTATCTAGCGAAACCACAGCCAAGGGAACGGGCTTGGAGAAATCGGCAGGGAAAGAATAATTATTAAATCATTATACATTGTGATTTGTTGAGTTAATTTTTGTCTATATTTTTTCCTAAAATTTATTAATAGAAAAAGTAAGTAGTCATACTGTACCTTTGTTTGATGTTCTTTGGTTTAAATATTTAGGTACTGGGTATGGTGCAGTGATTAATGTGCTCAGACTATGAATCTGAAGGTGCATGATTTGTAAAATTGTACTCTGCACTTTGTGGGCCATAAGTGTGCTATAAAAGTAAAGGTTTGAGGAAAACAAGAATTGGCAGTGACCTTGTGGACTAGCTGCCTACCATCTAGTCTATCAGTTCAAAATTAGGGAAAAATGATACACAGATACCCTTTGTGTAGTCTTTTGAGAAAATTCGGAAACAAACAACTAGTTGGTTTAAAAATGTAGGATCTGAGTTTCAAATCAGCATTACAGTGGGTATAATGTTATTGGAAACATCTTTTATTTTTCTTTCTATCTTTGCAAAAACACTTTTGGCTATTAATTTTCATTGTGTAATATGACCTATATCTAGGTACTATGTCAAGGTCATTGTTTTAGAATTATATATTTAATATTTTTTTCTAATTTATGTATTATTTAACTTTGATACTTATTGTAGATAAATTTATGTATACTTGCAAAATTACATTCTAAATTTTATATATTTTGTATCCTCTTTACAATTGAAGTAAGTAGGCCTTCTGCCTGATGCACATCATTAGGATTAGGAATGAGAGTTTTTCCAAGATTTGCTATTTTTGATGGTTTTTATAGTGGACTTGTATTAGCTTTAGGATTAGCATATGATATGGGAAACTCGTTAATTTCCCTGGTTTTACCTACTGCAGTTTATTAAATTGATTCAGGGTGTCATATATTATTTTACTCATGATAATTACTACAGTTGGTTTTGTAAATGCCAGTTGCGTAATGAATTATCAAAGGTATCTGGTAATGCCAAAGTTAAAACGTAATAAGCTATAAATGGTGGCATGGGTCATCCCTTTTCAGTATTTTGAGTTAAAACTCACATTGTTCATCCAACATAAAGGTACCCATGTTACTTGTGGCATTAAACATCACTTTTTTTTTATGTCATCTTCATGTGTTTTGTTACAACCTCTGCTCAGTTGAATGCTCATTCATGACATTAAGGTAATGAAGTTGAAATGTTGTTAAATTCAAACTGTTTGATTAATGGCTTATCCATTTAAACTCTTATGTATGGATGATCCACTGAGTTCCTTTGTCAAATTTCATGAACAACTTGTGACACTAGACAGTCAGATGGGCAACTATACTTCATATACATGCAGGTAGTAAGTTACTTGTAACAAGTACACTTCCAATCTATATATTAAAAGTTTTATTGCTTCTATTAACATTGCTTTTAAAAACTGCATATATTGTGTTGAAAACCCATTTTTTATCGTACAGTTTTTTTTAATTTTGTAATTTTTTTCTTGATAAGGTTGTACCAGGTTATGGACATGCTGTTCTGCGAAGGACTGACCCTCGTTACATTGTTCAACGAGATTTTGCATTGAAACATCTTCCCGATGATCCAATGTTCAAGCTAGTCTCTCAACTCTACAAAATTGTTCCACAGATTCTGCTTGAGCTGGGAAAAGTGAAGAACCCATGGCCTAACGTAGATGCACATAGTGGAGTTTTGTTACAAGTAAGTTATTGTTTTTGCTTTAAAGGTTTTTATATCATTTTGAAATCAAATCTTTTTTTAGCTGATAGTTTGATCACTCTTTTGTGCCTCATAAAAACATAAACTTTGCTTTGAAAATTTAAGTAGCTGTATGTATTTATGTACACACACACACACACACACACACACACTATTTAGTCTATTTACTTGGAACTTTGTTACTGAACATATATAACCTCCAAGTGTATATTGTATTAAAGCATAACCGATATTAAAAAAATTTTTGCATTAAATATATTATTACCTGAAGTATATATGGGTTGTTGTTATTATTATTATTATATTTATTAAATTTGAGTGGTGAAGGGTTTCCTGTGCTAAATACAGATTATCCTGTGCACTTAATATACACTATCCTACCAAAAGTCATGTGACATGGGTAGTTATGAATAAAACTTGTCTTTATTCCAACAAATTAATAGCGTGTTGGCCTGCCTTTGGTCTTAATGACTGCTTCAATGCATCGTGGAGGAATGTCTACTCATTTCTGGTAGAAAACTGGTGGTATTGTGCTCCACTCTGTTAAAGCATTAGTAAGCTCCACTACTGAACAGGGCCATCTTGGCCTTGCCCTGATTCTGCATTCCTGTTCATCCCAAAAATGTTCTATCAGGTTGAAGTCGGGGCTCTGTGCTGGCCACTCCAATGTTTCGATGTTATTCTCTTCAAACCACACATTCACAATCCTTGCTTTGTGACATGGAGCGTTATCATGTTGGAAGGTGTAAGGGCCGGTAACATAAAATTACCATAATTTAGAACACGTAGAACAGGTAATAAGCATTCTCCATACCCAAACACGTCCATCAGACTGGAAGAGCATGTAGCGTGACTTGTTGCTCCATAGGACCGATTTCCATTGATCCACAATCCAGGTTCAGTGTGCTTTGCCCCATGCCAATCGATGGTGTGCATTTGTTTTTGTTATCAACTCCTTGTAGGCTGCAGCTCATCAGTGAACATTCATGACTTGCAGCTCTCAACATGCCGTGGAAACACTTAAAGGATTGCCTGTGGTTGCTCGCATCTCAAAACACAGATTCTGTAAGGTTTGATGGCGAGATGAAGCAGCCAACCTTCTCAAAGAGTATCAGCTCCTGTCAATCAGTATTTTATGCCTACTTGGTTGTTTCTTGGACTCATTTTAACCTGTGTACTTCCATTTCTTCAGCACGTTGCCAATTGTCAGCCTAAGAATGTATAATTGTTGTGCAATAGCACATACAGATATTTTCCCCAAATGACATCCAACTATCCTTCCCTTCTGAAACTCTGTTAGCTCTTTCTATACACTAATCGTTTGGCATACAAGTACGAAATAACTTGCAAGCAAACTGCTGATCACTTTTATAGGCCAAACTATTTGTATATTTCGTCATCACATCCATTTTCTTGCAATCAGAGGTGTGTCCCATGACTTTTGGTAGGATAGTGTAGATTGTGCAACATTATTTTTTATCAAGTTTGGGTTGAAAAGTGTTACCTGTACAAGATATGGATTGTGCAGTATTGCGTGTACAAAGTATTAGTTGTGCACTGCTATCTGCAATCTTCTGTTGCTGTACAAAATATGTGTTGTACATCATTAACTGTACTAATTGTAGTTTATGTGGCATTACTTTTACTAAATTTCAGTAGAATAATGAGAATTCACATAAACTAAAACCAGCCTATAATTCTTAGACATTTTATGGTTATGGAACAGTGTGTGCCAGAAGATGATGGTAAACTGAGCAGAATTGTGTAATTTACTAAAAACAAACAAGCATTGGCCTTTTATATCAAAGCTAATTTTTAAAATATGAATATAAAATCATTTTAAATTTAAAGTATGAAGACAAAAGACTTGTGACAATGTAAATGTAATCTTAATGTCAATATAGTATACATATTCTAAATGCAAGTTTTCACCTTCAGAAATGACAAATAATGGCTACAATTTTCCATGTTCTACCATTTTTTTCATGTGCTGCTTTGCAGTATGTACATAATTATATAGCAGGAATAAATGTCTTTTAAATTGGGCTAAATTGTTTTCAACAGTTGATTTAGTATAAATTGTGCAAGCTTGACATTTAAAATATTCTGACATACTTTGTCATCATATACTTCTATTCACTGATGATATATTTTCTTTTCAGTATTATGGTATGACAGAAATGCAGTTCTACACTGTTCTGTTTGGTGTTTCTCGAGCTCTGGGAACTGCTTCATCATTAGTGTGGGACCGTGCACTTGGCTTACCTATTGAACGACCCAAGTCTATGACAACAGAAGGATTAATGAAGCTTGTTGGTGCCATATAATGTTAGCAACTTTCTAGGTACTGAGACAAATTCTTACTTTTTTCAAAGCTGTTTTACCATTAAAGATTGTGGAAATATACCTTTGAAAAACTATAATACTTGTAGTGCTGAGGTGGTAGTTTTTGTGTTTTTTGTACCTGACAGACATCCTATTTTGTGAGAAAAATAATACATTTACTCCAGTGAACTAACATGGAAAACATTTTTATCATTGTTAAACAGTTGTTTATGGGGAAAAAAAAGAAAATAAGACATGTTTCAAATATTTCTCCAGGGTTTCTGATAGTGATGAGTCTTGTGAAGCTCTTATTGTGTTTTTATTACTTTTGTTTTATCTTTTTTGTTATCTTTTTTTATTACTTTTTACAAACAGTATTTAAATTTAAAAAAAAATATTACTGTGCCTGTGGTTTATAGTTTGCATGTTAATGTAATCTACAGTTTTAAACTAGAATGATGGGATACTCTACACTTACAGAATTTAGGGCTTTAGTACAAATTTGGTGATAAGTTTTTGAAAAAAAGTGAAGTTTTTGTTAAAAACATAATCAATTTTCCACATTGAATGATATAAACAAAAAAGAGCTGTATACATTTTGCAGGACATTATTTAATGAAGTTCTGTCACAGTGAATTAAACATCTATAAGCTTATCCACTATGATGTAGATTTTACTGGAATGTTTCTTCATGTTTTAAAGATTTGTATTTGGATTAAACTTGATCCTTTCCCAACTCTTCATCATAAGGGTAAAATCAGGAATGTATAAATATTTACTCAAATATGAAAGTGCAACTATAAAATCTAGCATATGTTTTAAAAAAAAGTAAACACACCATCATAAGCATTGTCTTTTTATCTTAAAAAGTTCTACCTCATTTTCTCCTAACTTCTAATTAAAGAAAAGTAAAAAACATTTTGAATCTCAGTTTTCTAGGAGGATCTTAACACCATGTAATCTGATTGTGTTTCTATGGCATGAACATTTCTAATGGCAATTTATTGTTTTAATATCTTAATGTTCTCACCATATTTTTTAAATTCCAATTAAATGTTTGTACCAAAACAAATCTTATTTTTTATACATTAAACAATTTTTGAGGTAACTGTCACATGTGATTTTTATTATGTGAGACAAGTACATTATTAAAGCTGGTCCTTGTAGCTTCATGTTCAATTTCAGTGATCAGTACCTTGATAACTAGTTAAGTTTCTTACTACTCATACAAAATAAATGGTCATAAGGACTTTTCCCTTATTGACTAAGTTGTTGTAAGCATTGTAATGTTTATCTTTGAATTGTTAACTTTTGTAAAAGCATGTTTTTCCTGTCTCATCTAGTAAACTTTAAATCTGAAATGTTATTTTATAGAAACTTACACTATTTGTGATATTGTCAAACCTAATTTGTCATGACTTTCTATTCATTTGTTTTTTTTATTATTTCAGTTACAAATCTACTTTCATTTTTAATGCCATATTTACCACTTTGTCTTGCTCTATATTATTTTATTTTTTTGTTTATATTTATCCTAATATACAGTTGTCTTCTTCATTTTTTGTTCATTAAATCTAAGATTAATGGTATTAAGATGCAGTCATTCAATCAATGAAATTAATAGCAATAGATATGTATCTTCACCAAATTATTTCAGTGGAAGATTTTTTTAGAAGGAAACATAAGTAAGATTAGATTGTAAAACATGCACTTAATTTTGGAGTCCTATTTTAAATATTAATTAGCTTGTAAGAACAGATAGAACTTCTACTTTTTATTTGCACAATTTTTTAGGAAACATTTTCAACATAACTAAGTGGTTAAAAGGTGAAAAACTTGATGTTATATCTTTTTTTAATATATTTCCTACATGATTCTTGTCATTTATTACCAGAAACACCTGGATATAGATAGTATCTGTAATTCAGCTCTGCCGTTGTATATAAACATACAATATTAAGGACTGTAGACAAATTATTTGGGTGGAATAAAATCTTTGTTGGTTCTCAGTTTTATTGTTGTTGTTTTACAAGTTTTACTTTTAAGAAGCACAGATGCAAGAATATCAAGGTTATAGAGAGCACCAAAGATATGTAAGTAACTTTTCTTAACGAGACCAATCCTATCAATGCATGACAGCTTCAATTATGAATTATATAAATGACTAGCTTGGATCTAAAATGCTACACAAAAAATAAGAAAATTGTTGTGTATGTACAACTTTTATAAAGTAAAGGAAACCCTAATAGCAGTAGATGTGGTTTTACTGTAACATCAACGAACACTTAAATAGTGGTGGAAAGAGCTATTGTAATAGCATTAAACAGAATAAACAATGATATAAAAATAAATTTATAAGATATGAAACAACTATTGGAATTAGGAATTAACAACTGTTTTATCTTTGAAAAAACTTCTACATACTAAGAGAAGGTCTAGGAAATAAGAAGTCCTTTATCTGTAGTATTATCAGTGTTATTGCTCATCAGTATAGATTAAAGGAGAAGAAGAAATAAGATGGTTCTTTGAACACATTAACAAACTACATAAAAACAAAACTCAAAACAGAAAAAAAATAAAATGGTTATATAAATTTCCTGAATATGATCATAAAGAAAGAAAAGAAACAGTTTGGAGATTCATCAAAAGAAGGCTCGTGAAAGAACTTGTGTAAATTGGTTTTGTGCATACGATAAAGTAAAAATCAATTCCCCAGTGGAACAGCAGTAAGTCTTCGGATTTGCAATGCTACAATTAGAGGTGTGATAGCCTGATGTAACAAAACACAGTAAAAATCATAACGTAAAAAGGACATGAAAAAAAAGTACCCTCTAAGTATAATTGATGACACAATGAAGTAAGGAAAAAACCAAGAAAAAATAAACACATACAAGAAAAACAAGAGAACTGACCAAAACACCCAAGAAGAGCAAGAGAAGAAATGTATTGTAGGTGTTATTAGTGAAAATCAGAAACTAACATTAAACGTTTTTTTCACCAAAGTTGTATAATAATGAAAAAATTTAGCATTGTCACAGTGTATAAAATATAATGTTTAGACTGCAAAAGTTTCTATGTAAAAGATAGGAAAATAATGATCAGATACAAATAACATGAAAAATGAAGAGAGTCAAAAGTAATTAACCATGTGATTGGAAAACGACTGAAAATGAACTTTAAACAAATTTCATCTTATAAATATGAATACAAATAAATAATGTACAAGTACCATTTTTCTTTATTAAAAGGAAAAATGGTATTCCCTGTAATTACAGAAGCATTTTTTGGATGGCTTAGTGAGTTGAGCTGCAAATCAAAGGGTCAAAAATTCAAGACACGGTTTCTTTACTGAATGAGCTGCAACTTTTCAACTTTGGATATGTTTTAAAAGTAACAGTCAATCGTGTCAATAACACAAAACTTTCTGGCAGCCGGTGCTGTTTGGCAAGACCTGAACATGATAATTCTATGGTGTTCAAGGTTTGCGACTCCAAGAAAATGTGGAATTTATAGATGTCAAATGAAGAATTTCCTAAAATGCATGTGGACATATATTGTGTATGGCAGCTTTAAAATTATCAGCCTGACCACAACTTTTCATTTGCTAAATAATCTAATGTTTCAAATGAAGGCGGAAGACTTTCGAAACGTAGTCCTCTACATTTGTAGGTTTCTACAACAGGCAGTTGCTGTCCATTTGAAACTTAAGATTCATTATGAATACTCTGCCTAAACAACCTATCAAAGATAACCTAATGTTTATTGCATCACATTTCAAAACCGCAAACAAACAAAATTTGTTGAAAGCCTTGAATCTACTCGAAAGCAAAGTAATACAGGAGGAAACACTTTCTCTTGTGATCTGTCTTTGTCAGGTGATTATGCAAGTGAAATTTAAAGAAACCATGTATACTGACAAGCTGTACCTATCCAACTCACACTGAGGTACAGTGAAATTGAAATAATTTAATACTTTTACTGTTTCTGATTGGAACAAAAAAAAGCTTATAAACTGGGATGTCTAATAACCCTAATCATATGAGAAAAAATGGATCAGGAAATTAAAATAAAGTTCTCTCACAATGTTTATTAAGGAAAATAGGCTTTACAAAACTTTAAACTATACAAGTATTTCCCATACAATTAGAATTCACTTGAAAAACTAAAGTGGAAAGTCAGTAAAGTGCAAACTCAAGATAGGGCCAGCAGAGCCTAAATAACAAAAAATCAGTTTGAATCTGAGGATTTTGATGAAAAGAATGCAAAGTACCAGTAACCTCTTCATTTGCTGCACAGCTGTGGTAAGATTTTTAAATTTAATCTGTAAAAAAACTTGGCAAATCCTAGCTAACATTCAGTTTCCATTCCAAATCATTAAGCATTTGGAAGTTATTACACTGAGGCCCCACTATAATGCTGATCTGTTTTGGACCCTCAAATTTCATTTAAATTTATCCTTTCAGAACATATGTCCAATCTTTTTTACGATGTGTCGAATGTTGGTAATATACAAATGACAAAACTGTGTTCTTTATTAACTGCTGGATTACCAGTTACAGTCTCATTGTCATTTTAATAATAAATATTTAATAATAAAACACACAGATTTAGAATCAGCCAATAAGGTGGTAGTCTCATGACTAATAAAAAGGCTTAGCCAATGAAATTTCTCCGTCATAATTGCTCAGATTCTAATCTTGCAACAATGTTTAGGTTATGTTACCCATGTTTATCCAGTATTTCACATTCATTAGTTTGTGTAAAATGAAATTATTGCTTATGTTCTAGAACTAAATACGTAACTGGTGGTTGGTTGCTCAGTTTCTAATCTTGCAACTATGCTTAGATTATTTTAGCCTTGTTATCCAGTTTTCATTTTTATTAGTTTGTGTAAAATGAGAAACTATTGCTTATGTTTCTAGAACTAAGTATAAAAAAATAAACATACTCAGAATTTCAAGATTCTTAAGTGTATTGCACAACTTTTGTGTGTATGTATCGATACTTTTTCTAAACAATAATGATTAAATTAATTCACTTTTTCAACCACATAAACAGCAAGAGTTAAATTTAAGTGTATATTTTATGAGCACCCCATTTCACAAAATAGTTAATAATTAAATTTATTGGCAATATGCAATGGAGCATGAGTGCTCTTACAGTCAAAATTGTCATAGTTAAAGTATGACTGAATTAAATTATGTGATCCTCACATTTCGTCAAAACAGAGGGGGATTGTGTCCCATTCATTAATTAACTCCAAGCCATCTAACATCACACTGTAGATGTTGGTATCCAAGAAAGTCATAGAAGTGTTCTATGGGATAAAGTCAAAACTTTATACTGGCTGATCTGTGACTTTGTGGGTTTTTTCAAAGTAGTCCTTCACAATTCTAGAAGAATTACCTGGGCTTCTCTTGCATCAGGACAAATTCTATTTCCATTGCATCTACAAAATGTTATACAATTCAGTCAAATTCCACATCAAGAAATCATCAAGCAGTAATTCTGCCTCTAAAGAAAGCAAAAAGGATGTGCATGCTCATTTTTACTGATGCCTTCCTACACCACTGAAACAGTCATATTTAATGATGATGCATTGACTATATCATTTACCTCTGGATCTTCAGACACAAACCTATTATGAAACATTCAATCATCTGTCAAGAGTACGTGCACATAGTGCAAAGTTTACAAATGCATTTTGCAGTCAACTAACTGAAGCAGGTCTAACTAATCTCGAACCAAACTCATGAAGTCTGTTGTTGAGTACTTTGTCATTGATAACCACCTCTTTTGCTGTCCTGAGGCCCATATCAAACCCACAGGAAGATGACCAGCAATTCCTAATAGACATGCTATTCAGGTATCAGTTTCTACAAAGTCTGATTATCTTTTACTTCTATTCCAGTTACCTGATATCACATCCATAACTTTTCCAATGCAGATGTGGCTATGTCAAAAGGAGCTACTTGTCTCTTTTTTATATATATAGACTGTTAGGTTTTATGCATTCACTACTGTCTGTCTAAAAGTTTTAGATCCCATTTCATGGTGAAACTAGAATGTTAAATATCTTTTATTTGAGAGGGGGGGTAGCCGAGAGCCTCAGTAAACCCGATATAGAACTCTTCACAATACAGACAGTTCAGTCTAATAAAATAGTAAGTTAATGCTCAGGATTGAGCTTTTGTATGTTTAATTACTTTGAACAAAATTTGAGTAAATATACAATTTTTTAAAAAAACAGTTTTATGTTATAAATTAAAATTTTACAAATACATATTTTCTTTAACTGTGAGTATAGAATAATAAAGAAGTGAAGTCTATCATATCATTTTGAAACCTATCAAATGTGAAACCACAGTTCCTTAAGATTGAGAATTAACATACCAGAATTTTCTAAAGCTTCTCTTGTGGTGAATATATACATATGTTTTTCAATGTTACTTTTGGTTTAATCTGATTTCACGGTTTTCTTAGAAAAATTATATGTAATAATATAACTAGGATGATTATATATATATTTAATTGATTTTTAGATATTTTTATTTTGTAAGTAATCGTATGTCTAAAGCTTAAATATTTGTAAAGACATACATTTAGTGCTAAAATCTGGTTGCTTATAAGGGCAATCCCTGATTTCTAATGGGTTGTATTTTTCAATCATTGTACACGGTTGCCAAAAGAAGTGTAGGGATTTAAAATTGCAACAATCGATAACATTTGTTGGTATAATTTGTGTTTATTATTTATGAAACTGTACATCAATAAGATTTCTTGTAACCATTAAGTATGAAAAATATTGTATGGTAGGTGTCCACCATGAACTGCTACATGCTGCAATGCTCATTACAGAGGTCAAAGATTTGTGTGTAAGGCCATTAATTTCTGTCTCTTTATGTTATTTTTCAAATCCTGTAGTGTCCATGGCTTGTTGATATATACTCATTCCTTTAAGTAACCCTACAAAATGGAGGCTGCAGAGAAATCCAGGGTTTGTGGAGATCAGTTTATGTCTCCATTATGAGAAATTATCCTGTTTGGGAACAGTTCATGTAACACTGCCATTGTTGCTCAAGCTGTATGTCAGGCAGCTCCAGCTTTTTGAAACCACAATTTCCATTGATGAAATGTTTAGAAGAGCGACATTAACATCAAGTTCTCGATGGTATGCTCTTTGAGCAGCAATAGTGAAGCATTCATTTTTGAAATTAAGTTCAATAATAAGAAAATGCTGCTGGACTGTCCACCTTTTCACCATTAAAAATCAAACCCTTAATTTTCATTCAGAATAAAACAGATGGTTTTTTTCATTAATACTTTGGAAAATCTAACTATATAAATTCCTTACACTTCCTTTGGCAGACCCTATATTTGACAAAGTTCCTAAAATAAATAGATTTTGTTGAAATTAAATAGACATGAGAGGAAGAAGCTATTTAACCAAAAATGATAATAACTGGTTAGAACTGGAGGTGGTAACAGATAAGCTTGGCCTATGGATTTACCAAAAACTGGAATCTCACAATCAAGGCACCATCTCAACCTTTTTGATACCAAGGACCAGCTTGTTGCCTCCTTAAACTGTTGCAGACCACTGAAATGCAAGCATGACAAAAAACCTAGGGAACCGAATTATTGGTATCATTGTACAAAAATTCTGCATACTGTAATACACAACATGTTAAGTATACAAGAGAAAATGATTTAGGAATAAGCTTAATGAATGGCATTGGTGACCTTTCCAGACAGTGTTGTAGACATACCAATGTGCTGTGAGACAAAAATTATGTGTAAGTAACTGTACATCTGTCTTAACACATGGATAGAACAATGGGTTTGTGGAGAACAAGAGCACTGTACTTCTACATATTACTTATTGGCAACGACCTAGGTACAGGTTGTCAGCACACAGTAACTGGTTAGTATTATCCATTCTGATCCAGTGCTAATATACTAGGGACCTTGTCTATATGATATACTTACCTTAATTCCAAGAATGCTTCTGTAAAAAGTAACTCAACTATTTCTTTTCACCCCAAATGAGTAACAGATTATTGAAGAGGCATACCACACTTTGATTTATGGCATTAATAAGAAGTAAATGCATTGCTCACAAAGTTGAATGCATTTTCACCAGTTTCTATGGGGATTTATTACTTTATATTCAAATGATTTTGAAGCCTTACCATGTCATTACGTTTGGTCATGTTCTGTCTGACAACTGTGCACCTTGACAATAGCACTACAGCAAAATTGCCATTAAAAAACAGGCTCTGCCATAAGATGTCATATCCAAAGCACAACATACATCCTTACAGGCTTTCCATAATCCATCTTGTCAGTGAGGATGATGATTTCTCAGCTCCAGCTTCAATAGCCTGATTGCACAGAAATTCATAGGCACTTCATCTGGTGACTTAACAGTATGTATCCTTATGGACTAGCATGGAGCAACTTGTGTATGTGACTTGTGTTGCTTTTCCAGATGGAGATCTTTCTTCATTGTATTATGTAATTTTGTCTGTTTGCAGATTTCTTTGAATGTTCCTAGTCTCCAAATTATTTCATATACCTTTGTTGTTCAATATTATTATATATTAGGGATATCCTTATCTTGGAAATTCTAAATCCTTGATCTGAATAGATATTTACAATCTAAATGCATGAATATTTTGCATCAGAAAGCTGTTATATACTGCTTCCCAAAATCAATCAACTTTTGGTGGCATTTCACAACCCACAAAACATTAAACTGTTAAAATGTAGTTCTGATACATTCCATTCTACCGTGGCCTCATATCAGTTATGACTGTCATGTGACTTCCTTATTTGCAGATTCAAAATCATTTTAATCTAGTATACACAACTCTCTGTAATATAGATGCAACAAAGCACTATTAACAGTAGCGTTATGTTCCAAAATCTAAGCAAAAAGAAAGTTTGATATCAGTATCATGAATCTATATCGAATTTGTATTTGAAAGATCCATCTCCATGGAAACCCAGATTAATGGGTTGAAAAATGCAATGGCTTAAGATACTTAGCTAGAAAATTGTTACAGATACTGCTTTAAGCTTAAAGGTGCTTCTCAGGTTTAAATTATAAGCAAAAACTTAGTGAATTAAAACTAAGTTACATAGCACACTTTTACCTTTTTACAATTATAAAAGACAAATTGTATTGCAACTGAACTAGAAAACACTTTTCAAATTATATTTTTGATAACAAATATGGAGAATACTATTTTTCAAACTGTACCTCGTTCCAACGTAGTCACATCAGAGTAGCTGTACAAAGAGAGTAAGATACAATGCTATCATCCATTATAGCAAAATCAATTTCTTGTTTAAGTTTCTAGTATTATTCATTATCTAAACAATGGTTAAAATTGACAAAACGCAGCATAAGAAGATAAGTGTATAAAACTTTGTATAACAGAATAGTTTGAAAACCCACCACTAATTCTTGTTTCTCCAAGCTCAAGTAAGTTTTTAAATTTACTTTTACTTTGTTACATACACTATTTCATAAGTAAATGAAGCACATTTATTATTATATATTCTGCAAATGTTTGGATACTTTTATGTTTTTCATATAAAAATTATGGTTTGTTACACATCTGTTTTTGTTTTTTTTTCAACAAAATAAAGAAAACTCCTCTCAATTGTTTCTTTTACATAGTTAATCAAGTTTGCATTTTACAATAAATTCAGTGTTGGTACATTTAAGCTAAATAGCCCCATATATAAAACAAGCTAGACAGTCAAATCAAAGACCTCTAAGGTTGGCATATCCAACTTTAATTTGAAAATGCTGATCAGAGAGAGCAATCAGTCAACATTATCTGATGCTTATATAGCTACACTTAACCAACCAGTGGAATTGACTGTCACAGTTATACTGCTCCTACAGCTGAAAATGTGAAGCCTATTCAGTGCATATCAAGGTTCAAATATGGGTTCCTTTCTGATCTGCAGCAGTTATAACAATTATGCCATGCCCAACCACTATCTAAAGATATATACATTCCATAGGTTTAAAGTGAAATTTAAGCTTAAGAATTTCTTTCTACAACATATTTAAGAGTTGGGTTATATGCTTAATCAAATAATAAGTGAATCATTATTTAAAAGAGATGATCCCTACAACCTAAGATTTTCAACATATATAAAACTTTTGTACATGAACTATCACTGTGTAATTATGTCAGTATATTCAAAACAGTGGCAACCTTTTATCTGGAATAATTACTTTAATTCAACAAAGCATGCCTGTCCTTTGGTATCATCTAGTACATTTATTAGTAGTAATTTTTGTATTAATTATTTCAAACCATAAAGCAACTTTTCTATCTAAAACATACTTTCAATACTATTAAATACATTCTTTAAATTTCACACCAACATTAAAAGCCCGTAAAGATATATAAATTGAATTAAAATTTTTAGTAATCAAACTATTAAACACTTCCAAAGTAATTTTCAAAAAATCAGTTTGTAATATATCTATATTAGCATATCAAAGTTTATATCTCTTGTGTGACTTACTCTAAGACCTGTAAAATATAGGTATGCCAAACTTCTAAAGCAAAGTTTTAAACCAATCTTTTAAATCAAAACTGAGTAAAGATTAATATTTTTATACAGTTTTAAAATGTTTTAATACAGTAGCTTCAAGATTAACACATTACTGAAATTAGTAATTTTAACTATATTTAAGATGTTGTTTCACCACACAGAAATAATAAATACCAATAATTACTTCCTAATCAATCTGCAAAAAATAGAATATATTTCTGTCATAATGTAAAGTATACTATATGAACTATTTAGACCCGCAGCTCAATGTACGAATAGACACAACAGCATAATTTGAACTTGAATTCTCCAAGATAAGTTTTCAAAATTAAAATGAGATGGTTTTATATAAAGCATTAATTTATTTTGATCTTAACCAAAATCTAGATAGAACTATAAAAAACTGTAACAGTTTCATTCAGTACCATAGATAAACCAAGCCCTACAAAATATTGGCAGTTTTGTATCAATCTTAAAATTTTCTTATAATGCTCTCAGTCATTCTTTGATGGGTTTCAAAATATAAATAAATTTACATTAAAGATCACCTAAGTTTGTTTGCTTTTGATGTTATACACCTAGAAAAATCTATTTTTCCATTTATAAAAATTAAAGTAAACTAATAGTTTTTTCAGTGATAGTAAATGAACACACTTTTTTAAATTACGTCTAAATTTATATACAGTTCATTCAATCAGCACTGAATGTGGCTAATTAAGATCAGCTAAGTTACATAAGATAGAACTTTAGCTCGTTGTTTCTGTATAGATTGTTTTCCATAAAGACATTCAGCCCTCTGCAGGAAAGCATTTACCATTTGACGAACCACTTCATCAAAGAACATGTGAGATAGATGAGAGTGCAGGAGGGAACGAAATTCAAATGATACCTACAAAAAAAATGGAAGAAAACCTTTAACTGGTATAAATGTAAAATCTGAAAAGAGCATGACAAATCCAATTATAGGATGTGAACTAGGAAGAATACTAAGGTTATTTTAAAAATCATAACTTATTAATAAGGCCAGTGTACCTAAAAAAAAACTAACATTTCACTTCATTAGTTTTGCAGAAAAGTATACATTCTCTGACTCAGTATATTAGTAATCAAAATATCACCTCATATGAGTAATACACCTTTTAAATCCCAATTATTTATTATTATAAAACATAGATATTTTTCTACAGATTTCAACCACACATGTCCTGGTCATCATCGTTCTGCCTGATGATGACCCAAGCATATGAAATCAAAACATGTAACAAAATATCTTTGTTTTGAAATAATAAATAATTGCGATTTAAAAAGTGTATTACCTATACTGATTAAATGGCACAAGATATATGAGTAAACCAATTAAAATATCATGTAACAAACCTTCCAAATTAATGACAAGCTATATTTTCACTACTGTTTCTTTCCAATGTCTATAAATTAAAATCAGCTGTCTGAAATAACATACCATTTCTGTATAAAAAAATAATTACTTTAACTGCTTGTTTAAACATCTGATCCTAAATTCTGAGATTAATAAAATAATATTTGTTATAATCATGTTGGAAACTGACATTCACTACAAGAGCAAATAGCTAGCAAGTCTCTCAACAAGTTTAAAACTGCATCGGAATATACTTGAAATGATATACGTACACGTAATACGATGTTTTGTTCTTACCAGAACAAGTTTGTTAGCAAAAGTTAATTGTTACTATTAACTTTGAAGGTTCCCATGGTTTTATAACTTTTTGAGAATCTACCACCTATACATAAAATGTCACCAAACTTGACAACATCTAACAAAAGAAATTTTGTTCTGCAAGATCTTTGTTATAAATCCAGTGAATCTTTAAGTACAACTAAAGTTTATGGTCTACAAATAGCCAAACTTAGATTGAAAAATACTAGCTTGTAATTTGTACTCTCTGTTAACCAATAAAAACCAAATTTTTATCTAAATATTACTGAATCTACAGTTATTATACAAGTACAAAAGTTCAACATACTTCAAAAATTTTGCTAAAACTTTAATTTTTGAAGCTGCTAAAGAAAGTTAACATTTTCTTATACTGAAAATGTAGTTCTGATAATACTTACATCCTCTCACACTTTAGTTTTATCCCAGCCAAAGTTTCTCTTCTCTGCCCATCTAAGTAATGTTATGAATCTTACCTCTCTTGCTCCAGCCTTTATACCACATTATATTGCTCATAGCAATTTAAAACTTGTGATTCCCTCAACCTGTGTCAATGCACCCCCCTATACCAGATCCATATATAAATTTTCCGCTATTACTTCCTATTCACTTTTCGAGACAGTCCAAATAATGTGAGAGGTGGTAAGTATTATTGGAAATACATTTTTGGTAAAGGAAAATGTTAACTTCCAAAACACACCTCTTCTCACACTTTAGCTAGAATCCCACATTGAGAGGGTGGAAAGGCCAGTAAGGGCAAAATCCACACAGAAAACATCTACATAGAAAATGAAATATAGTACTTGCACACCAGTGAGGTCTGCATCACTTCTGGAACAGATATGGTCTTCACCCGGACAACATGAAATCTGGGCTGACCAGCCACAAAGACAAAATCCGAACCTTGTTAGAAAAACATGCATCTATACAGTCCCCAACCAGGTAGATGAGGTCCCATGTCTCGTCATTGGAATTACAGGACTGTGGACCCAAATTGGGCATGAAAACTGCTGTGTATTTCATTTTGTTTAGTAATGTGGTATTACTGGAACCCAACCTGAAAGTTACAGAATGTTGTATGTTGAGCTGCTAGAATTAGGAAGAGAAGGCAAGCAACACAAAAGTGGACAAGCCCTCACCCCAACCTGAAGAAGTGCAAAATGCAACACCCCTGAACTCATAATTATGGAACCTGTCAGGCCTCACTCAACTTGAAGAAACAGAGAATAACCAGCCTGGGAATATGAACCCAATTCCTAACTCCTCAACCTGAGAGGCAAGGCAATACCTCCTGCCTCCAGAATTATGAGGAGGATGTGGAACAAACTAAGCCCAATCAATGACACAGGAATTGACGCTATGCTTGCAGAATTTTGAGGAGGCAAGGACCCTCTTCCATGATCATCAAAATGAAGAGAATAACCAACAACAAGGGCCATACTCAACTCAACCAGATAGCAAAGAGTCATCTCTTAACTGGAATTATGAGGAGGCTTCCACTTAGGCTGGTCCTGCTCCTACCATACATCTGGAAAAACCATCCAAGGTTACTGGTAAGAAGGCACCCAGCTTTGTTCTCTTCTCCTTGACCAATGCGAAGTACCGAGGAACGATGCTCTGGAGATAGTGCAGTTGGTGTATTTGTCTGTGTTATAATTATTTACCACCCAGAAAACACACAAGGTGGTCTTATGGCATACCCCATCTCAACACAGCTCATTGCTATCAGGAAATTTTTTATCAGTCACTGGTAGCTAGTGCAGAATTGGAAATAAGCATACCTGACCAGGAAACAACTGTAACAGAGTGGGATCCAAATGGAAATGATGAGAGGGTCCCTGAAAAAGAATAGGAATAAACACAGAGAAATGAAGTCACTCACCTCTCTTACAAACTAGCCAGGGTGTGGAGAATAGCCAAGGGGGTAGCTGTAAACCTTCCAAAGAGGCAACTGCCAAATCATGTAAATAATGAAATATAAATGTATTAGGCAAGCTCCACATACCAGCCTGTACAATCTTCTTCAGTGGGCAACACAACTGAGCCACCATGGACATTGAGATATGGCAAATCTGATGAGATGAAACCTGAAGAAGTCTCCATTCTTCCAATGAAAGCCCAGAGTAAGCAATATGCACCAACTGATGAAACTAACCTGTCACAATGGCAGAGGATAAGTCACGTAACACCTTAGAATTACAATGACGTGAACCCTGAAACCCTTCAGTGTGTACAAAATAACATCAAAGAGCCCGAATCGGGCATAAAAGATGACCCGAATCCGAGCATTTATAAAAATGAGAAATAGGGGAAAGATGGGTAGGAAAGAAAGGCTTATCCCCTTTTCTAGCCGCTGAAGTTTTGGGAAGAAAGGACCTATTGAGACACAACAGAAAATAACTAGAATGGAAAAGAGAATTGCACACACACATTTGAATGTCAACATCCACTAGTCAAAAAGAGAAGAAAATAAGCCTTAAGCAAAATGTAATATAGGGAACATGATGCCAAAGGTTCAAAGGGTGGGCAAGATAAGGCATGGAGAACCATCAATAAGAATCTTGAAAGGACATCGAGGACAGAAATCCCAAAAAGATTTCAGAAGCAAACACAAAACCAGGGACTCAAAAAACTTTACATCTTCCAGAAAAATGAAAAGTAGCTTACAAAGCTGCCTTAAACAGAGAAATGGACGAAGGTGCTAAACCTCTGTCAATTAACCATGTCCTAAGTTGAGAAACGTGCAGCATAGTGGGATGAGAAGGATTAAAACCATGTCTGAGAGACCACTGATGATAAGTAAACCATTTCTGTTGATAAACATTCAACGAAGAATGCTAAGTGGACCGCATTAATAAAGATGCCACCCAAGAGGTCAATCCCTGATGTCATGCAATGAACCAAATAAAAGTCAGGTGTGGAGCCATGAAATTGTGATTGCCAAATGAAAAATGTCTGACTGAGGCTGACATAAGATGGATGGCCAAAGAAGAAGAAGAAGAGGTTGGTACTCCTGAAGGTTCAGAAACCAAGGTTGACCTGGCCAATATGGTGTCAGAACTAGGAGTGAATCAGTGCAAGTACCTTGAATAACAGACGAATTGGAGGGAACATGTAAAGATGAAGACCCGTCCAATTTTGGCTGAGAACATCTATGCCCAGAGCCCAAGGGTGAGTAGCAAAAGCATCAGTCTGATGTGCCTCGAGACAAGAACATATCCAATAACAAATTAATAGATGAAGCATCCACTCCATAGGAAGAAGTGTCGAGAGAACTGATTGGCCACTACATTCATAACACCTGGAACATGACAACCAAGGAAAACAATCCAATGATTGTCAGCCCAAAAGAGAAGATCCAATGTCTGAAAACAAAGATACCTGTAGTGAGTGCCCCTTGTTTGGAAATGTAGAAGACCACAGTGGAAATGTTCGAGTGAAGCATTACTACTTCCCCTTGCAACAACTCAAGAGCCTGAGACATACCTCATTGAACTGCTAACGCTCTAAAAGATTGATGTGGAGAGATGATTCCTCTTCTGTCCAGAGGCCCTTGAGTTCCATATTCTCTACACAAGCTCCCCATCCCAGGAGAGAAGCATCTGTAAAAAGATGTATCTCTGGATGTGGGGGCAGAAAAGGGACACCTACTGTTATGTTGTCCCTGTTCAAACACCAACCAAGATCAAGCAGGCTGGGAGGAGATAGGATCACTGGACAATTCAGTGCATCCATGCAAATGTTCCATTGGTCCTGTAACGACCACTGAAGGAAATGCATATGGGCCCGACCCAAAGAAATGAGGGATTCTAAGGATGCCCACATCTCCAAGAGATGGAACCACACGTGCTGGTGGAGGAGATGACTATATTAGAAGATGGCCCATTCCATGACCTGAAGGTGTAGAGGAGAAGGTTGGGTCCGACTGAAACGTGAATTGAAAAATACCACTTTATGTGGATGAGGTACTGGGAGTAAGAATAGACATCTCCATTTTGATGAGAAATGCAGCTCTCACAGCTTTGGATAAAACAGCTCTGCCAAGTTGTGAGAAGAAGCGAGAAGAAGCCAGTCAATGTGAATGCCTAATGAGTGACGATAACGTGAAAAGGATATGACTATCCAGGAAAAAATGAATGGGGCAGATGTGAGGCTGAAAGGTAGAGCATGAAACTGAAAAACAGAGATAATGACGTGAAGACTCTGTGATCGGAATATGAAGGTAGGCATCGGCGACATAGAACTTTGTTATCCACAGACCAGGTGCAAAGTGCCACTGGAAAAAAAGAAATGACTTCATGATAGACCGAGGAGGCTGGAGGAAACAATTGAGATGAGAAAAATCAATGACAGGTCACCAATTGCCCATCTTCTCCAGACTACACACAAACAAGAATAAAAACTTTTGTGAGAAGAGTCAATATACTCTACAGGCTTTTTGTGCAGAATATCCTGGATGATCCACATTGGGAAGGTCTCTCATACAGACAAGAACCATCTGAGGTTCTTGTTTATGTATATTTTTCATTATTATATATTTTTAATAAAATTAACAAAAATGTAAAAAATTAGAAACTTCTTAAGTTAGATAATAAGACATAAATGAAAAAAATATTTCATGTGATCAGTTAACAGGAAAGTAGCTCACAGTTCTCTAGTTGTGTGCTTAACTTGACTGTTTGTCCACACTAAGCTCTCCTTTTATGACTTATTGCTTTTAATGCCAGAGAGGGTCCAAAGTACAGTAATAAAACTATAAAATTAAAAGAAAGCAGAAGGAAAAAAATTAAAAGTCGAGACTGTAAGGATAAATAACTGTAATTTTAATTATCTGTTACAATCTGCAGTTATTCTATAGAAAAAGATATTACTGATTTTATTTCAAATTTTCATTTCTTTGTACATTTATGACTTCATTACAATTAGTGTTAAGGTAGAGAAAAATAAGGTACAAGTTTTACCAAAAAAAAACTTTTGATATTCATTTAAGATATTTTATAAGTTACGTAAACAAAATATAAAACTGTAATATGAAAAAATGTATTTTTATTCACAGTATGAAAATCACCTTTCACTTGGACTGGCTCAGTAATGGCTTCATAAATCTACAGAAAAATCTTGAGTAAAAATACTTAAAAAATCTGATTTTGCGAGTACAACAGACTTGTAATGTTTACTAAATGCATGTTACATTTAGTGGAGATATATTTAGAACATTCAGAGTTATAGTATGTATATTTCATGATTTACATGATAACAAATTGACTCAGCCCATGTGCATAGGGTTAACACTTTGCACTGATTGATTGGTTGACTATTCTTCTGAAGACTATTCTTTTGTGATCCTGTGTGCTAACTCTTTTATCAGCACTGATTGATTGGATACTTATTGCACAATTGATTATGAATACAACAGCAAATGGGACAGGTCTGAATAATTACTGACAGAAAACTATTTAGTAAATGTGAAAATACATTTCCCAATAAATTTACAGCTTTTCAAAATGTTTGTTTTAATTTTTCACTTAAGGGATGCCAGTGAGTGTCACTTCCACATCTACTCGTTGCAGTTTATTAGTGGTAAAATAGCTTAAACCTTTTGAGTCTAGAATAAATAGCATCTTAAAGTGAAATATATAATCTAATTTAATACTGTGATAATGAAAATAAAGACGGATGATCAAACTTTTCTTTGTTTTGATTGGTTTATATAAATGCTCAATATCAATAGAAAACATGTATTCACCAAAAAAAGTAATAAATGTAAACACTTCATGTCAAAAAAGAAATGCAGAAGAGTCACATTAAAATAAAAACTGACAGTACCACAAAAACATCATGAAGAATCAATGGAACCAAAACTCACAGATACATGAAGAAAACGTATAGTTTTATTTCAAAGGAATATTTATGATTCCACTGATTTTTGCAATTAGATTTAACCAGATATACTGACTGAAACTAATGAACCAAAGAAATAAATACTTACATTAAAGTGCAATGTACAAGTCTTTGGGTTTTCGGGCAGGCCAGTACTAAATCTCCAGACAGTTTCTAAATGGTTAAAGAGTTTACCTTCTGTACAGCAAGCCTATGGATAAGGAAGTAAGGGAGTGGGTACACAGAAATTTATAAAACTTTTATTACAAAAACAACTATCTTGCTGCAGTAGGAGTGCTATCAAAACCAAAAGTGAATATTAAAAATGATAAAATAATTTAAAATCAAAATGGAAGATATGTTTAACTTATATTTATCAGGAAGAATGTATAAAAACTTGTTGAAGCTATATCATTGTTTTCTCCCAAAGCAAAAGAACAGTCAAGAAACATCTGCAATATAAACGATAAACGTTGCAGATCTAGGTTGTCACTTATTACGGAATTAATTATTCGTGAATTTAAAAAAACATATTGAAATTATTAAATTAACTACTTTTTTGCAAAAAACTACTCTTTTAATACGTACACTAATACATGATTGCCATAGCACCAGAGCACAAACAAAAAATTAGAAAAATGTTTTAATGTGTAAGCAATTTCTCTAATTATAATCAGTATCGCAAATGATCTCAATTATGTGTGAAAGCTTACCTAACAATAAACACTGTGAAAAAGTACAAAATAAAATATGAAGTGGAGCACTAACCATTCGTAAAATATTTTCACAGGGTGATAAAAATAGTGAACTTTGCAAGAATGCAAGTCAGACAAAATTTGGTTGAGCTAAGTTATATTATTATTATTTAAGGCTGTGTTTTTAGTATTTTACTTTAGTTATTTTTATTGTACGTTAGAAGGTGTTTCAATGCAATGAGATGAGCACATGCCACCTGGAATTTTCTTATGATTAGGAAATGATTTCACTTATATTAACTGCATTTTAAGCATGAGTTGGTAATGTGAGATTGATTGAGTGATTATTGAGTCAGTTAGTTCAGAGTTGTAATTTCGAGACTGAGTTTCAATGAAATAATAACAAATAAGGCAAATAAGCAGTAAATGGAATTTCTATTGAAATGTTATTCACCTGTAAAGTAGGCCTATCATTCATAACATATAAGAACATACTTGTTGAAGTACAAGTTCAAGAAACAGTTGTTTTAATATGGTGGACTTTGCGTTATTTTTACCAAATAATACAACAACAAAAACTTTGACAACACTTGTGTCCTGAATGGGGTTATTTTCATAAAAACACAAAAGAATCCAAACTGATCTTCAGTACGACCACACATGGTCAAAGCGAGGTCAAAAATCTGCTGGAAATGATATAACAGTGGAAAGAAAAACAAGCAGAAACAGAGAGAACATTAAAAGAAGATAACACATCATAACATTTAAGAAAAACAAGGGAACTGTTGGTCCATCTAGGCTGTCTCATCTACTAAACTAAAGTACCAAAAAATACTTAAAGCCAGATCTTATCAAGCCTTCTGTTAAATATACTAACTACTTCCAACATGTCAGAAAACAACCCATTCAAAAGACCAACTACTCTGTTAGAAAAATAAAACTGTCTTAGCTGAAAATCACTCCCACTCTGCCAAAATTCATATTTGTGTCCCCTAGTCCTGCCATTCTTACTATTAAGTATGAAAAAAAATATGCATCAACACTATCAATCTAAAAATCTCGATCTAATCCCACTAATTTTTTTAAGGGAAAACAATTTCAGATGTCTTGACCTGTCCTTGCATGACAACCTTTCTATCCAGGTATCATCCAAGTAACCCTCCTCTGAACTTCCTTCCAACAATTCATTGTCTTCCCTAAGGTAAGTAGCCTAACACTGAACACATTACTCCAAATATGGCCTAACCAGTGACCTAAACAATGAAATTATAATCTCCTTATACTTTTATTCAATACTTCAGTAGATACAAACCAAAATCCTATTTCCCTTACCACTACCAGTAGCACACTCCATGGATGGCTTAACAGATTGATCAACCAGAACACCAAAATCCTTTTCTTCTATAACACTGTTAAGGCTATTCCAATAAAAATTATGCTTGTAATTCAAATTACAATAGACCTAATGAGTTATCTTGCATTTATTATAATTAAAAGCTATCTGCCATTTATTCACCTAATTCACCAAATGATCTAAATCCTTTTGTAAGGCAGCAGCATCCTTGTCACAGCCAGCAACACCAAAGACCTTAATATCATCAGAAAATTTAAGTATATTTAAAAGATGAAAAATTCTAACATTAAGCCCTGAAGTACATCACTTGTGACATTAATCCAGTTTGACTAAACCCAATTTATAATAACCCTCTGGTTTCTTCCATCCAGTCACTTTTCTATACAATGACTTAACTTATTCCCTACACCTACAGAAATAAATTTTTAACAAGACATTTATGTGGCACCTTTTCAAATGCTTTCTGAAAATCCAGATACAACAAATCCATATCTTTATCCTCACTATGTAAGCAATAATCTCTTTAGAGAATGTCAAAAGATTAGTATGGCAAAATTTTTCCCTAATGAAACCATGTAGATTATTCAACAAAATTTTTAAACTTTGTTAAATAACTTTGCAAAGCATCTTTTATCAGACTTTAATAAACTTTTCCCTCCATTGATGTAAAACTAATAGGCCTATAACTACTAGAACAATTTTTATCACCTCCCACGAAAAGAGAAGTAACATTAGCCAACTTTTAATCCTCTGGACCTACCCACTATTTAAGGACTAACAAAAAAAATAGTAACAAGTGGCTCACATATCCAATCCTTAATCTTCTTCAAAATCTTTGGAGAAATATTATCTGGCCCAAAGACTTTATCAATCTTTAAACTTCCAAATTTTTAGTCAAGAAGCTCAGAACTAATGTGATCATCTTCTTCAACCTTATTTCCATCTAGAAACTTTTTAGGATGACAAATATTGATTAAATCTTTACTAGAAAAAATTGAAAAATATTAGAATTTAATAACTCATCCATCCATTCATCACAAATGAGACTTTCTTTATCATCCCTTAAAGGCCATACTCACCCTAATATTTTGTTTATCCTTAATGTATTTAAAGAAATCCTTACCATTAAATTACACATTTTTTTAACACACCATTTTGTTAATACACCATTTTCAATTTCCTAATTTGAAAAGGAAGTTCCTAATGCAAATTTTAGAAGAATAAGGAGGAAGGATGACATGTTAGATGAACTTGATAAAAATATGTATAGGCTTGCCCAATTATCCTACCCAGATGCTTCACATGAAATGATAAATTCACTGACACATGAACAATTCATAGATGCTATAGAGGATTCAAATCAAGCTAAAGCAAAGTAAATATAAATCTTTAAGGGAAGCAGTCCAGTTGGCAGTGGGACTTGAAACTATTAGTCATAGATAGACAACTAAAAGTACCATCCTGGAATTATTTGACCATGAGATCAAGTATTGTGAAAATTTCAACTTTTCTGATGACTATCAAGAAGAAATCAAAGGATTAATTAGACAACTGTTTACTCAGAACAAAAGAAGTAAACACAAGACAATGGGTGTTTCAACTGTAACTTAAATGGGCATGTTGCCCAAAACTGTAGAAAAATCAAAACTGCTTGCAAAGAATATTAAAAAAATAAAACTACTATAAGTGTGGAAAACATGGACACTATAGCTGACTGTATCGAATCAACAAATTCAAATATACCAAAGAGAAGAATACTTAAGTTAGGTATACACCAATCCATGAATCAATCGATTCATTAATGAGAAGCCTAGTAACATCTTTCGACCTGATTTGCTAATAACAGGTGGGAAATTGCCTCCAGAGATGAAGCAAGAAGATGGATTGACACAAACAACGAGTAGACATAAAGTTTTAGAAAAAGGAAAGTTGGATTTCACTCTCTACACAATATGATGTGTGTGGGTAATTAAACATTGAGGAAGAGTGCATACTGGGAAACACAGATGTGATATTAGACTAGATTTGAACAGTTTCACAGTCAGTGACCAAGACATTCCTTTACACTAAATGGCAATTACATCACCAGGGGTTGAACTTCTATTTACAAAGATGGAAGCACAAAATAATAAAGACAGCAACCTACAGTGCAACAGATCAGAATCCAGGAAATCAGATGGTCTATGTCAAAGGTCATCCATCGTGGTCATCTTTGAAAGCACTTTAGCAGTTAAAAGCTCAGTAGTTACCTTCAGAGAAGATTTCACCAGAAATAAGTCATCTACTGGAGGGAGAGCCTGAGGTTCCTGTCGAGACCACATCCAGAGAATCACCAGAAATGAAGCCAACAGTGGATATTCTCCACTATCTATCTGAAGAGAACTTTCCAAGTGACAAGAAGTAATTCCACTTTTTTTACATAAGCCATGAAAAAGAAAACCACCAAAAAATTTGTTGATTGGACAGTTTAGGGACAACATACAAGTACAGGTTTTGGTATACAAAATTTTTATTGTATTTTCTTGCACACATTTGATTATCAGTTTAATAACTGTGATGCCTATATTTGTGTATATCAATGCTTTAATTGTAAACATTTACTTTACTGAAAACTATGGCAGTTAAACATTTAAAGTCCACTGTTTTCTTTGTGTAAAAAGGCTGTTCAAAGGACTTAATCTGTAGTGTTGTTGGACATTTTTAATGGTGAGTGCATAACATATGGAATTTTCTTAAGAGCTGGAAAACAATTTAAGTAGTATAAAGTGCACGTTCAGCATGAGTAGATGGGAAAGGTTTTTGGTTAATTATGAAGTCAGTCAGTTAGTCCAACAAGTAAATCTGCAGTCCGAAAAGTAATAAGAGATATGAGAAATTATAAAGGAAGTGGAATTTTTACTGAGACATTATTTATTTATGAAGTAGCCTTATTGTTAGTTACTTAAAATAGCATACAATTTGCAGAACTAAAAATTCAAGAAATAAAGCTTTTTGTTATCATTAAATAGACGGAACTTTGCATTATTTTTACAAAATAATTAAATAGCCCAGGCAACCATTTCAAGTTATCCAAAGGTACAATAATAATACGTGTCTATCATTATATTAGAATAGAGTTCAATAATGTTTGCATATGTTACCAAAATTATCAATGTAGCCTTTTACATCCAAAACTAAATGTAGCCCTTTGCATCCATACACCTATCCACCAACAGTTTAAACAAATTAAAACTAAAAGCAAGTCATTAGGCTAATAATTTCAGAAGTTTATAGATCTTAATCTAGAAGTACTTCTGTTGAACACATTTTGGAAAGATGTCAATAACTCGTATATCTTAAATCAGGTATTATTATTATTTTAGTTTTTTGTGATAATAGGTTAAACTTGAACATGGTCATATAAATTAGATCTGAACACAGACCCCTGAACGATTACAACTTTTTACCATAGCTAACACTCAAACAAAGGTTACAAGCATATATTTATCAGTAATCACATCCCACTTATTAAGACTGATCGGGTCTCCCTTAATTTACTTTCAAGAGGAGTTCCTAAATTTTTCAAAAGAACAACAGGGTGTAAGGAAATATCTTCCCCACTTTCAAACAGTATTTACATGTTTAATTTTAAACAATTGCAAGAAAAATTTTTATCACTGTAAATAGAAACATTTTTTTTTTTTCAAAATAAGGTTCTATTTGAATATTTTAAAGGACCAAATAGTATCATCATCCTATTTCTTTTTGCATCACATACATAAACAAACCTTGCAAGTCATATTTGATGTTTTGGGCTAAAAGTAACTTTGGTAATGTCTTTAAACCTTTCTAATAATAGCTTTAGTGACTTCTTGTTTGATAAACATCAGCATCTTCCATTTTACTATTACTTAAGACCCATATTCATTGGCATTTTGCTATTTCTCCATTTGGTTTGTATGCAAGATTTTTAGAGAAAAAGCATTTTTTTTTCTATGCTAGTTTCAACAAATTAAGAATTCCCAATATTTAAATTACATTGTTCCACATTAGATTGTCCATGTAATATTTCTTGCAGTTATTGAAGGTTATATTTTTTTTTCAGAAATATGAGGCACAACACTTAATACCAAACCTTTTCTCAATATATATAAGTAATAACTTTATCACACTAATAGTCAAGTGCTGTTATACAACATTATTTCTTATCATATTCTCCCCAAGATCTAAAACAATACTTTCTATAATACTGTTTCTCAATCACCAGTCTGTCACAACCTCTTTATCTGTCCATAGGATTTCACAAAACATAGAAACAAACAAAAAAACAACAAGTGACAGAATATAATAGGTTTTTCATTATACTTGCATTTTAGTGGTCTGCAACAATTTAGGTAGGCAGTATCCTGTACCTCATATTAAAAACATTGAGAAACATTATTCTATGACATGCTAAATGAGAAAGCAATCCCAATTTTTCTCAAAAACATTTTTTTCAACCATTCCTCATGGTTTAATTGCCATACTTACATTTTTTTATAGTGAATTCTACTCTAAACATTCTACTATTACAAGAATCAAAAATACGTTATAATTGTTTCTATTTCTTAATTTTTATCTTTCAATTTTCATTCATTTTGCTCAATAAAGAGGTTAAATGTATCATGAATGGAATAAGTTCATAAAATGAATAAAAGACTGTTCACAATTATATATCTTTTTGAACAAATGAATTACTTTCAATACTCAAGATATTTTACAAATATTCATACAGCATGTTATCACTCATAAGATACATTAAATTTTATAAACTAAAATGAAATTAGTCTAAAGCACAGTGATATATGTCAATTAAAATATTCAAAATAAAATCATTAAAATCTAGCTAAAGTTGTTAGATATGCATGCATTTTTCAATCATAACTTGGTATATACTACAGAAAAAAAAAAAAAGACTTAATTACTTTCACTAAATGAGGCTTTGCTAAAGTCACCGAGGAGGTATAACGTTCTACCAGTGGTGAAAATCCTATCTCCATTTGTGCCAACAAATGTCCTTGTCGCTTCTTTGTTACTGAGGATCGTGTACACCATGGAACAAATTCTTTATAACTACCCACATCTGCTACAATCTCGTACATCTGATCCATGGAATATCTACAAAATTAGAAAGAAAAGTATTTTAGTTTAGAAATTAAATAGTCTTTTTAATTGCTACTTGAATATTTTAATTTTTTTAAAATAAATAAATACAAAGTAAAACAACCTATTAAAATGGAAACTGTAATACTAAAATACTTACTGTGAAAATACTATGACATAATAAAATGTTAATTTGAAAAAAAAACATAAATGCATATAAAAAAATTTTCTTTTCATGTTCCAACTTCAAACAACAATTTTATCACTGGTTCTTTCTTCTTCATGAATTTTTTTTTTTGGAAAATAGTTGTTTAACTGACTAATCCACTGCTAATGTGCAGTACAAGACAAATGCCCAAAATAGTTTATAGAAGATAATTTTACATCTACCTTCACATAAAAAAACATGTTTTAAATCAAAGATGATAATGTATGATATCATATCAATAAAGTATTATTCTTCACAAAAAAATATATTAGAAACATATACAATCCAGTAGTGACACTCAAATACCAGATAATACTTGTCTTGCTGATAAAACTAATATACCAGCTCAGCTAATATATAATTACCTACCTAGTTGCTAAAGAAAATCACCTTTTAACTCTTTCAGCATAGGCTCGGTCCCTCAGACTGACCTCGTTATCATTTTGTGCTTGTCAGTTTTCATGATGTAACTTTTAAATTAATAAGCATATTTAGCAGATTATCAGTAAACATTACAATGCTTTCATACACAAAATATCAATTTTTTTATTAAATCTTAAGGTTTGTAAACCAATGTTTTTCTCATTCCATTTTTTCTTTTCGCATATTGCCTATCCAACATGCAAAGTAATTTTAATTTTACGATAAAAATACTGTTGTGCATCAGAAAATTTTCTAATTTCACATGCAAAATCTTTATAATGTCTAGATAGTTATCCAATGTTTCTTGAGAAAAATATTTATATTTTATCTGTTATTTTCAGTAATAAATCTAAAAAAATATGAAATTTTGAGCAGACTAAAGACACACCCCTACCTCATTGAAATATTGGTTTGAAAAAAGAAATGGCATCCAAGCACATTAAAATGGCTGAGAAAGCCACTAGGGGAACATTCTGAGCTTCCCATTGGTTATTCACGTCATATATAGAAGTAAATGTATATATAGGAGCATTTCCAAAAATGGAAAGTGGTGGGTGGGGTGCCACTGTGTTTGATTTATTACATTAGCAATATCTTAGCAAACTGAAAAAATAAGTGGCTCTTACATTATATTTTAATAATTTGAGTAATTTGAGTTATTAATTCATACAAAACTATAGACTTAGTATTATGACATCACAAATATCTAATTTGATATACATGACATACAAAAATTGATGTTTATCTGTGTTTTTTAATATTTACTTTTAAATTAACAAATTGAGTTGTATAGTTCTAAAATTGGAATTATAATCTGCAGTTTGATACCAAACTTACTGACATAAATTCATGAAATAGTAATACATTAAAATTTTAAATGCGAGTCAACAAACATGATGATATGGCCCTTCACCCATGACCCATCTGAAAAGGGTTAGAGCTTAAAACAGTCCTAGAAAAGTGGACAAATATTTTGTGAATTTTTTTTTCCTTTCTCAAAAGTTAAACATTGAAAACTGAAGATGCAATGAAACTATTACAAAAGCCCTAATTCATCACAAAAATCACACCAAAGCATAGAATAATAGATTGCAGATTTTCATTTTCACATTTGTCTTAAATAATCCATTTCAAATTAGATGTGTAAATATATCATTTCAGGTATATCTTTCATTTGAAATCTTATGTGCAGAATGTTGATAAATTTTGGTCTGGAGTGAAAGACTTCCTGGACAGTAGCTTGTGGCAGTCAAAAGGAAATTTTGAAATGCCATTTTAATACACCTCTGATTTGAAGTCCTTAATAAGTTTTTTAAAAATGTGCAAAAAATGCAAAATTTAAATACTATTGTATAGTATAGTTTTATTATGAATAACAGGCTTATTAGTTTTGTTATCAGCTTTTTATGTTTAACACTGCAATATTAACTTTTAATAATGCTTAAAAACAGCATTTCAAATAGGTTTTTGGCTGTCAATCATGGAATATTCACCCTAATGAATGCTGGTATTGAACAAAAGACTTACTGGGCAGTGACTTGGATCAGATAAAAGATATATACGATATTCTATTCTTGTACACTTCCAATCTTAAATCTTTAATGGACTAATTAATACAAATGTATGAGTGAAAAAAATCTGGTCTCATTCACATTTTTATGGAAAAATATTAGATCTACATGTTACAAACTTATTTATAAAATTGGTATCTTACCCTAATAACCTTCGTTCCGAATATTCCTTGCGTTTAGTAGTTCCACCAAAAGGGTTTGGTAACTGAAAAAAATTTCGCTTCAACACGGTATGCTGACAAACAATGCCATTCTTTGACAAATGCTGACTTTGGTGCCATCTATTGGAGTAATTCAATGCCAACACTGTACAGAATTTTGCTGTGCTTCTACAAAGTAGAAAATAAACAAGAATTATGTTGCTTAAAAGAGCTATGTTTTACACAGACAGATAGCAAGCGCCATGCTTAGAATACAAACATAAGCCTAATAAAACGAAGACATATAACATAACGTTTTGGGACAACATGGATCCTATTGGTCCATCTTGGCTGTTCCATCCTCTAAACTAAATTAAAATAATTTATTTAAAAAATCTTATAACCAGCCCTTATCATTCATATACTTATCAAGCTTTTTCTTAAACTCACTCTACAACATCCGAAGGCAACCCATTCCAAAGGCCAACCACCCTGTTAGAAAAATGATCAACACTATCAATTCCCTTTACAAACTTCAACACCTCAATCAGATCCCTCCTAATTCTTCTTTTTCCAAGAAAAAACAACTTGAGATTTCAGCCTCTCCTCATATGACAACCCCTCCATCCCAGGTACCATTGTAGTAACCCTTCTCTGAACTATTTCCAACAATTCAATGTCTTTCCTAAGGTAAGGAGCCCAAGACTGAACACAATATTTCAAATGTGCCCTAACAAGTAATTTCTACAATGAAATTATAACCTCTTTAGACTTTTATTCAATATTTCTGTAAATACAACCTAAAATCCTATTTGCCCTACCACTAGCAACAGCA